GATGAAAATCACTCCATCCCATATAGGAGAAGGAGTGAATTTCGTTCTAGGTATTCCATCCCACATGGGAAGGAGTACAAAACCAAGGAAGGGATCAAAAGCTATAAATAGGGCCTTAGGGATTTCATTCTCCCTTGCACTTTGGCTTGAAATTTCGCCAACCCTTCTTCATCCCCCTCTTAGGGATGATTTCTAACCATCTTAGGGTTTGTGAAATTGACTCTTCTCCTAGTTATTTTTATTCCACTCTTTGGTGTCACTGGGTGTGATACCATCAGAGGGATTTTGGTTTGGGTCCTCTCATCCAAACGACTTCATGGAGGATCAAGATCTCAAGCATGGAGATCAAGGGATACATAAGAGGTATGTTTTTCTTCTTTAAGTTTTTGCTTTCTAGGGTAGATGTAATTAGCATGAAGCCATAGATCCATAGGTTGCGTGTACACTTAGGTATATCGTAGTTTCAATTTTTCCGCTACCTAGTTTAGAGTGTATTTTATGAGTTGAAAACCCCACACCCGTATCATCTCCAATAAAGGTGTAACCATTGTCATCCTCAAACAGAATGATCGATGCATTTCATTTACTTTTTTATAGTTTATTTTAACATATTGTATTTTATTTTTAGTAGATTTCTATTTTCTCACTAGGAAGGTCCTTATACATCAAAACCTTAATTAGCATACACCCTAAAGGATATGTGTTCTCACTATGAAGGTATGTATACATCAAACCCTAAATTTGCATACACATAAAGGATTTATGTTCTCCAATAAAGGTCCTTATACATCAAACCCTAAATTCGCATACACCCTAAAGGATCTATGTTCTCACTATGATATGCAAAAAGCAATTTGAATTCAAGAACCCTAAAGTAGATTGCTATTTTTGAAAATATAGAAGGGTCATTAAAAACATACCTTTTAGTTTATTATAGTAAATAAACTTGAATTCCTTCTTTGTAGATCTTTAGAAAGCTAGCACCAGAAATATCGTACCTCTGATGGCTCACACACAAACACTAGAAGTTGGAGGCTATTGAAGAGAGAGGAGGGGGAGAGGATTTTTTGCTCTAGGGTTCCTTAGGAAGAGTGCTGAAAATATGAGGTATAAGGACCCTTTATATAGGTGACTAGAGGGGATTCAATAAGGCAGGTTTCCTTGGATAAGCCTTATCCCTTTTCTTTCCCTCCAAGTTTCCTTAGAGCTCTAGAAACCTTCCACAACCCCCTTAGAATTCGTCCAACCCCTAGGGAGGTTCTAGAATTGGTCAATGCACAATATTTTGAACATTGTCACCTTTAATCCTTCCACTTTTAGTTATTCCAATTAATCCCAAAATTAATTCAAATTAATTTCTGATTAATTTATAATTAAACAATATAATTTCGCGAGGTGGGTATTGTCAGTATACTTGCTTGTGTGGTAGTATATGTTAACCACCTGGGTCTTATCTGTTGATTATTGCTATATGTGAATTGAGTTGCTGATAACTCCTGGACTGTCATGAGTCCATGGGACTGCTGATAGTCCTCAGGGTCGTTGATAACCCGTGAGGTGTTCCGTTAATCCATAGGGCATGTTGTTAGCCTACTGGGACTGCAGCTAGTCCCCATGGTTGTTGTTAACCTATATTTGATTATATTGTGTGTTGTATGTGACATTCGAGGCTGCTAATAAAATATAGATGATTATTATGTTGTGTTGTATGAGATATTTTGGGGGACTCACTGAGCTTTGTACTTATAGTTGTGGATTAACTATTTTGCAGGTACTTATCGGATTGTGAAGGCGAGATTGTCCACATACATCAACAGATTTATGATTTGAGATTCCGCAATGTTTTCTTATAAACTCTGATTTCTGAATATTGGTTTATGAACAAATGGGTTGCCCTAAATGTAATTTGGTTAAATGTATGTTTTATTATTTTAAAAATGAAAAAAAAAATTAGCCTAGGATTTTGGGATGTTTCACTAATCTTGATGTTTGGGTCAAGGTGGGCTTGAGAATGGACTCCTTTCACCCCAAAAGGTCCAGAAAACAATTACAACCAATCTTTGGACCTAACATTCTCAAAACTCCAAAGAAACATCACAAAAGAGACCAAACATACTCATATGCTAGATCTAGCAAATAAAATCCATATAAGGTGTGAAATTTATGACTTATAGAACTAAAATATGTGTCTAGAAGGTAGGGCATCTTTGGATCTTGTTTCTATAGGCACCAAGGAGCTTGCTTCATCTTCAAGCTTCATACATAAATGATAACAACACTAAAAAATAGAAGGAATGAAGCAAGGGTTTCTTTCACTGAAGGTTGAAGGGGGTTGGAGGCTGATAAGAGAGCAACCTTAAATGTTAGTTCCATTATATGGGGTCTAAATCCCGAAACTAGTGGCATCGCGACTTAGGATTTTGCTAAAGATCCCACTGAATTGAACTGGGTCCAAGATCTAAGAAATAGTAAGAATTCTTGATCTCTCTCAATATCTCTCTCCATTCTAAAATCCATCACTTGAATTCATGTCATGTCATTGAATTCCTCCTGATTTATTAAAACTAAAAGAATTCCATTTAAGCATCTCATTGCTTTAGTTAAAAGATTCCATTTGAATTGGAATCTGGTCATTCACTATTACCCGCAAATCATCCATGGTTGAATGGTTAAAGCACCCAACTTATAATTACCAGAACCTGGACGTGTCATAAAGCTAATTTCCACCTAAAACCCTCTTTCTCCTTAATCAATATAAAATGTGAACTCTTGATTAACTTATCAACTATGAATTGAATTTTGTTCGTATTCCGGGGAGTTTTCGGTAACTTGGCGATTAGATCCATGGTAATATGATCTCACTTCCATATCGAGATCTTTAATGGCTGAAGCTTTCCATAAGGCTTCTGATTCTCAGTCTTGACTTTCTAACAAGTCAAACATCTCTCAACATACCATGCCACACCCCGCTTCATAAGGCTTCTTAGGGTTTGTGAAATTGACTCTTCTCCTAGTTATTTTTATTCCACTCTTTGGTGTCACTGGGTGTGATACCATCAGAGGGATTCTGGATTAGGTCCTCCCATCCAAACAACTTCATGGAGGATCAAGATCTCAAGCATGGAGATCAAGGGCTACATAAGATGTATGTTTTTCTTCTTTATGTTTTTGTTTTCTAGGGTAGATGTAATTTGCATGAAACTATAGATCCATAGGTTACATGTACACTTAGGTATATCGTAGTTTCGATTTTTCCGCTACCTAGTTTAGAGTGTATTTGATGCATAGAAAACCCAACACCCGTATCATCTCCAATAAATGTGTAACCATTGTCATCCTCAAACAGAATGATCGATGCATTTCATTTACTCTTTTTTTATAGTTTATTTTAACATAATTTCTTTTATTTTTAGTTAATCTTCATGCATATTTTCCTTTTGCTATTTTTATATCTATATCAGGTACTGTCTAGTTTTTGTATCTAATTACAGATCTTTAGAAGACAAGCCTGTAGCAGGGATGATAATGAGGATGGTGGAAATCAAGTGTTCATGAAGATTTGAGTTTTTGGACTCGTGTCTACGGAGAATGGAAGCAATGGCTTTAGTTTTGGGTGGAGACTTAAAGATAGAAGATTTTGGGTTATGGATTTAGATGATTAAAGAACATTGGGCTTTGGATGATTTGATGAAGTTTTGGAGCATCTAGAAGCAATTATCGGCCAAGAAATTGGATGGATAAAAGCTGAAACGAGGGACAAAAAAGATCAAGCTTGAAAGAGACGTTTTCATGCAAGTCAAAGGTGTCAGCACATTTCACGTCGCATGTGCACCTTTTTGTACTAGTACTCACACAGCCCACATGACTTATCAATGGGTTGTTTGGTCATTTCGTGTTTGGTTGCTATTTATGGATGGTTGGTAAGCCTTTTTGACGGACTGGAACCAGGCAACAAAGGGGTATTCTTTGGAGTTTTTGAGAGCATTTTTTGAAAATTTGAAGATCACTAATTTTCATATCGTTTCATCATGGATTATGTTTGGTATTTCTAAATTAACCTTCTTTGGCTTAAACTTTGGCATGTTAGGCTAAGTTAATCTTGGTTGATATTGGAAGTAATATTTGAATGTTTGATTGGTTTTGAAGAACTACTTGAACTTATGATGAATCTATGTAGAAGTATTTTCTCATAGAACATCTCTTTATGTTCATTTGTTTTTAATCATGAGTTTAGGGGGTGTTTGGATAGGGAAAAAATAGGCTGCTTATTGCTTATTGCTTAATCCTTCCGCAATAAGCAAATTTAAGTGTTTGGATAGAAGTCTTTAAAAATCAACTTATTGTGGTAGGAATAAGCCAAATAAGCTAATTTTAATAAGCAAGGGGAATGCTTATTGCTTATTGCTTATTTTTACTGATTTGAAAATTTACCAAATTACCCTAAAAAAACGATACGTAACCCATAAACCCTTTGTCGATCAACAAACCCCTCATTGCACATCTGTTGTTCGCTATTCTGCTCGACGTGCCAAGCAATTGACGACCAGGAGGCAATCGACGATCAGGTTGGTTTGCATCTTGTTCTTCTTTTTTTTCCCGTCTTGTATCAATCGACAGGCGATTGATTATTGCTTTTTTTTTCGTCTGGAAGCAAAAATCTGGAACAATTGTCGATCACAGATTTGGTTTTTTTTCCTCATGCTTAATCGATGAACATTTGACATACATGGACGATTTCTTCTTTTTTCTTCATCCTTGATTGTTGTTACAGAAAAATCATAAGTTTCTTTTGATTGCCACTGATGCTACTTGTATGTTGCTTGTAACTTTTGGTGTTATAGAAAACTCAGAATTATCTTTTGATTGCTATTCATGTTAGCTGTTTTTTGCTTCTACTTGTATGCATTTTTGTTTGCTATTCATGCTACCTGTTTTTTTTTCTATTGATTTAACATTAGGGTGAAAATTTAGAATTTTCTTCATTCATTATCATATAGGTAATGGACACTGTCAATGTTCATGATGTGGGTATTGATACACCCAAAGTGAAAGTTACAAATAGATTTCATTGGGATCCTCATACATTCAAAGTATTTCTTAAGGAATGTATGACCGGGCTAAAAAATGGGAATAGATCGGGTATTTATTTCAATAAGTCTGCATGCGAAAATATATGTAAGAGGCTTTTGGAACGAACCGGTAAAGATTTGGATAGACATCAAATGAAAAACAAATGGGACATTATGCTGAAAGAGTTCAAATATTATGACCGTTTAACAAGACTAGAAACGGGAATTTCAACTGATCCCGTGAGAAATATAATCTCAGCATCAAAGGAATGGTGGGATGAGAAAATAAAGGTAGTAATTATAAATTTTATCTAACAATATATTATTTGTATTGTGTTTTTCGTGACATTCTCATTTTGTACATATAGGAAGATAAAGAGTATGCTAAGTTTAAGGATAAGAATTTGGATGTATATCAGACATATTACGAGGCTTTTTTCGGGATACCGTAGCTGTTGCAGACAAGGCTAAGGTACCTTGCTTATTTAGGGACGGTAGCACTCCGGATGATGTACAGTTTGTGGATATTACGGATGGAAAAGAGGATACTAACGAAGTCCGCTTATTTGATGATGTTGATCATTTTCTCACATATGATAGTTCTAGTAAGAAAAGGAGGGGAAAGAAGTTAACTCCCAGGCGTGACAACAAAAGAAAATTTGAAGGAAAAAATGACGGAATAAGTGAAGGAAAAAGTATGGCAAACTCGTCATATGAAGAGAAACTGGACACTGTTTTTGATGTTTTGTTAACAAGGAGCACTCAGCCCTCAAGACAAACCACACAGTCACCGACAACAGAAGAGTGCATGGCAATTGTGTCTACTTTTCCGGGTTTTGAAGAAGGCTCAATAGGATATTTAGAAGCATTAGACGTCTTTTTAAAGAAGCCAGCTCGTCAGAATTTTATGGTTCCAAAGACTAATGTAACAAAGATGGAGTTTCTCAAGAGGCTTATAGAGAAAGAGAAGTAGTTGCTGGCATGATTTTGCTTTTGTTTCCTTTTCTATGATTTTATCTATTAGGTTGACTTTAAACGATTGTCATGTGTTAGACCTATCCTTTCATCTATTATGTTGAATTTAAACGGTTGTTTTGTGTTTGTTTTATGCAATTCCATTTCATGTTTGTTTTGTGGTCAATTTTGCCCTTTCCCCATGATTTTGCTCTTGTTTTCTTTTTCATGATTTTGCCATGATTTTATCTAGTATGTGGTAAATTTCAATCTTACCCTTGTTTCCTTTTCCTTTAGTAACAGGTTATATTCATGGTCAGTGACTGTGAAAGTGACAACTCATATGACAATGATGACTAATGTCATGAAATTGAAGAAAATGAAGAGATTCAAACACTTCTTTTATGTGGGCTTGCTGTCAAAGGGTTACTATTGAATCAAAAATCGAAATATGTATGTAGACGTCGCCGTTCATCTTCGCGCACAGGAAGCATGTTTATCGATGAAATACTTAACGATCATGAGAGCCGATGTTATGAACTTTTCAGATTAGAAGTCCCGATTTTCAACATGTTATGTAGGGATCTTGTTGCACATTATGGGTTAAAGAAATCACGTCGTGTATCTATTCAAGAGTCCCTTGGTATTTTCTTGTTGTACTTAGCGCATGGATGTGGAAATCGGTTAATTCAAGAGTTCTTTAATCATTCTGGGGAAACAATCCATAGGCATTTTCATAAAGTCTTGGATGTTGTGGTTAACCTAAGTAAGGACATCATCAAACCAAATGCTAACTATAATGAAACTATACCAGAACATATTTTAAATAACCTTCGGTATTATCCATACTTCAAGGTACTTATTTTGTTGCAAAGTTATGTAATTTGTTGAATTTGTGTAATTGTAAAAATAATTGGTAACTTATTATATTTTTTGAATTTGTAGGATTGTATTGGTGCCATCGATGGAACACACGTGAAGGCCTCTGTTCCGTAACGTGACCAAATCAAATACATTGGACAAAAGAATTGTGTTACCCAAAATATTATGGCAGCATGTGATTCTAACATGTGCTTTACCTTTGCGTGGGTTGGATGGGAGGGGACCGCACATGACACGAGAATTTTCAATGAAGCGCGAAGGAGACATGAAGTTAAGTTTCCACTTCCAGCCAATGGTTAGTATCATTACTTATTAATAGAAGTTTTATATTTTCAAACGGTATAAATGAATAACAATCATATGCTTTATTTGTACCTCTATAGGTAAGTTTTACCTTGTAGACGTTGGATATCCTAATACAAAAGGTTATCTTGCTCCCTACAAAGGTTCAAACATCCGTTATCATATTCCTGATTTTCGACGTGGACAGACTCGTGCCTCGCGGGAACCAAAAGGCTTCAAAGAAAAATTTAACTATTATCATTCGTCACTTCGCAATGTAATTGAACGAACTTTTGGAGTCTGGAAGGCTCGATGGGTGTTACTAAGAGATATACATGTAAATTTCGACTTCGAGACCCAAGTCAAAATTGTGCTAGCTTCAATGGCGATTCACAATTACATTAGAATGAGCGGTAGTGGTGATGCAGCATTTCAGATAGCGCAAGAAGAATCTTATATTCCGTGCAATGTTGAAGGACCCGATGATGGTATTGAGCCACATGACGAAGTATCAAGTGGACAACATAGAAGTGACGATATATATATGAGTGCAGTACGCGATATGATTGCGGGACAGATTTTTTCAAGGTCAAACACTCGTGCACGTAATGGCGTATGATTTGTTTTGAAACTCTTTAGTATTTTCATTTTATGGTTTAATGTAGTAGCATGAAACTATTTTGGATAATATTTTGGATATTTTGGATAATATGGATTTGGAATGAAATTTGTGGTCTCATATAGGTTTGCATGATAAATGTTTTTTTAGTTCTTATGGATAAGAAAATTATGGTCTCATGTTTCTTGAATATTTCGATAGATGTATCCGATCAATTTAAAAATAGGTATGAAAATAATGTGGTAAATGTTTTTTTAGTTCTTATGGATAAGAAAATTATTATTATTATTTAAAAAATAAAAATGTTTTGTTTTAATAAGAAAAATATGTTAACATATAAGAGGAAGCCCTTTTTGGTTATTTTACTCATATAAGATGTTTTGTTTGCCAAACACTTAAAAATGTTTATTGCTTATTGTTTATTTCTACCGCAATAAACTAATCCAAACACATTTTAAAAAACTGTTTATTCTCACCGCAATAAGCATATAAGCAATAAGCTAATAAGCTAAAAACTATTTGTCCAAACACCCCTTAGATGTATGGATATTTTTTTCCCCAATAAATCATATATTTTCGTTAATCATTTATAAATAAAACAAATAATCTAACATTGGTCACATATATCACACCATCTATATTCAGTTATTCACTAAAATTAAAATGCATTATTATTTTTTACCACCTAGGCCCTAGCTCTTTTATATTTTGTGATCTTACTTATCTATAGAGATTGAATCAGTTAGTGTTGCTAACAAGATTCATAATATGTTTATTAATTTCGATCTTCTCTTGGGTCATGGTTATGAATTTGTAAAAGGGAAGTGATATTTCCGCTTCTTCTTTTGATCCATCCATTTAATAAATTTATGGTTTTCCTTTTCTACCCTTTATAACCACTGTTCCTAACACGATTTTTTTTCCTTATTTTGATTTTGTATTCTATTTTAATTTGGATTAATAAATTTATGGTTTTCTTTTTCTACCCTTTATAACCACCGTTCCTAACACGATTTTTTTTCCTTATTTTGATTTTGTATTCTATTTTAATTTTGATTTTTATACTTAGAAACCAAGTTCCATCATTTACCCATTCGAACTTAATTGGTTTTATTTTTACTTTATTTTAATATATATATATATATATATATATATATATATATATATATATATATAAATAAATAGGTAAGTTTAATTAAAAAAATAAAAAAATGTTGAAAATGAGAAAATCAGTATCAGTCACTCATTTATATCTTCTCGCGAAACCTTCCGTCGTACCAGTGCGAAAGGGGAGAGGTATTATTTATAAGTGAATATAAATTTACTCATATTCATATATGAATCCACCACCTCCCCTCTCTTTCGTCCGCCACCACCTCTGACACCGCTGTCACCACCACCGTGACACCACCCCGTCAATGAGATGAAAGTGGGTCCTTACCCGAACCGGATGGACTCGAACCCGGAAAACTCAAAAACCGGTTAACGGAATTTAGTAGAATTGGAAACCGGACCGGTATATAGAACCGGTTCCGGTTCGATTCCTAGTGTGAGACCGGGTTTAGTGGGTCTAAAACCGAAATATGAATGTAGGTAGGGTGGATCCGGATAGAGTGGGTCTAGAACCGGAAATACCGAATTTTTTTGATACTTATTGTTTTGATATCTTATGTTTAGAGGCATGTATGTCACTCAATAAATAAGATGTTTTTGGAGTCTAAAACTAAGGCCAAACACTGAACTACATTTTTAAAAAATAACAGCACCAATCCATTTTAAAAATGGAACCATATCGCAAAATAACCTCACTACTTTCATTCCTAGTGATTGCTATTATTTGTGATGGCGATACCAACTTAGATTACATATCTATATGAGTTTTAACCGAATATGATATATGTCGTATGCTGTTAGTATCACATCTACATGATTTTTTATTTAATTTTTACTTCAAAGTTTTAAATAACTTTATATATATATATATATATATATATATATATATATATATATATATATATATATATATATATATATATATATAATAAAAATAAAAATAAAACCAATTACAACTCGAATTGAGAAACGATGGACGCTTGGTTTCTAAGTATAAAAAACAAAACTACAATAGGGTACATAATTTCAAAATAAGAGAAAAAATCATGTTAAAGGAAAGGCGGTTTTAAAGGGTAGAAAAGGAAAACACTAAATTTGTTAAGTGGATGGATCAAAAGAAGAAGTGGAAATATCACTTCCCTTTGTAAAATAGTTGAATACTTGAATGGTAATGCTTTACACGTTATAGATTATATGGGTGGGTCCTCTCTAGGCTTAAACTTTAACTGAATTAATGTCTCCTCTAATTTACGCTTAAACCGTACGTAGAATATCATTTAATACAATAAAGAAGACGTTTATAAACTCTGATCCGGTTCATAAAGGTATCTATGATGACGAAAGTTAAACACAAATTTTAACGAAAAAATATTAATATTTAATATTTTAAGGAACGCTTGAAAAATGAAAATATTGTATTTATGATAACGAAATTAGAAATATTTTTTATTACTTGATAACATAAAGAAGATTCAGTTTGTCATGCCATTTTAAGAACTTGTTTGTTGATGTGTATTTCGAACTATTGTATATTGTCGCTTTACTAATACATTATACTACTCATTTTAATTAATGATATTTTAAATCCACAAGAGTACATTTTTACAATAAGGAATTAGAAAGGTTCCAAATTTGACATTATCAAACATGCAAAAAAACTAGAGTGTAGGGTCACAACCTTGTGACTTGTGAACATCAAATAATCTTCTCATGAAATGTAACGATCAAGAATCATACTTAAAAAAGAACTCAAGAAATCAATCATGGCCACACAAACATGTGCTTTGTTGGTTTGGCTACTATTCGGTAGAGCCACACAAATGGGTGTCAGTCGCATGCGAAAATGCATGGCCCGGGTCAAAGCATGGTCAACAAAGCTCGTTCAAGGCCTCGTCCATTCTTTATAGTCGGAAAACATTCCCCATAACACAAACGGCCAAACGGCCTTTGCCTGGGCAGGCCTAAAAGCCAATGCTACTGCAAACATTTTTTTCATGTTTTTTAAGTACTAGCAACGTATTTGTATTGGTTTGTTTATTATAGCATTCTATTTTCATTTCTGCCAATTATAACATCCTACTTATGTAACGTCCCAAAATTCAAACCAAATTTTCTCTTTGAAAGTACATAACATATCTCTAAAACCATCTTTTTAAAAGTACATACAATCGACTTTGTTCAAACATAATAAAATATAGTATCAAATCAGAGTCGTATCGTGAAATCAATAGAAGTCTCAAAATCAAAATCAAACACCGATGCCAGTACAGTCACACTGAGCCCTCCTTTTTCTCACCAAAAACACCTAAAAACATTTAACTTTAAAACATAAGCATAAAGGTTAGTGAGTTCCCCAATATATCATGTATTCCATTGTAACAACTATGCATATAATTGCAAACTCATCACCACTTTCTTGATGAATGTTCATGACCACTTTCGTAACAACTATTCACGACCACTTTCGTGATACCTCATCCCTCGACCTGTAGGCTCATGGCATGGAGCCATTTCGCTGTCATCCCACACTAAGAATAGAAACATATCATATAACTACCAATCAGTCATAGAAGACTCCACTAGTGTAATTCATCATACAATCATACCATAGAAATACACAAGCATCCTAGACATAGAGGACCAATAATGTTATATGTAATATAGTGAGAAAACGCACATGAATCCAACGACTACAATCTCCAAAGCAGTCTCCACCAACGAAACAACTAGCATGAACTACATAATACTACACAGAGACCAATCCTCAACCTTATACTCATATCCATCAAGGTTTGACCCAAAATTCAAATTGGTCAAAAAGTCAACGGTCGTCGTGACCACGCGTTGCGACCAGACTCTGGTCGCATCACGACCAATACATGACAAAATAGTCGTGAGGCCATACCAACATCCGCGTCACAACCATGCCTTAGTCGCATCACATTCTCTAGACATGAGCACTTATTCCATTATGTGCTTATTACGTCAACCAAGAGGCTATAAATTTCCATAATCCATCAATAGAGGTTCTTAATGGATAAAGTTTCCAACTATATTCATAACCAAGCCTCTTACCAAGTCAACTCTAACACTATATCTATAAAGAAGGCCAAAAATGGCTAGATCCTCTTACATGGAGTAAAAGAGCTCATGCATGCACTCGTTTCTACATATATGGTCTAAAAATGTCCCTTAAACAACATTATCAACCTGGAGTTTCCCAAAATCCAAGAAATATAAAGAAATGGGACCAAAAATATACACAAGTGCCTTAAAACTCTAGATCTAAGATATAAACACATAAAGGTTGAATATTTATACCTTACAAAGGTCCATAAGATGATGAGGAGGTTGTATTTTCTCTAGATCAAGCTTCTATGCACCAAAATCTAGTTTCTTCTTCTTCTTCTTCTTCAACTTCATACAAAATGCACCAAGAATCTTCAAGAACAAGAAATGGAAGCTAGGGCTGCTTACGGTTCTTTAGATATAGAGGTTGAGTAAATGACAAAACCCTAAAAGTTAGAGCCATTAAATTGGTCCCAAGGATTGAGACCTATGGTTATGAACTCATTGCGGCCACACGTCGCGGACCATACATGGTCGCGTCCCAAATTAATGACATGACATGCATCGCGATCATAAAATGGACGCGCTGCAAACATGCTTTTTCCCAAAACACGCATTCTTAATTTCCATAAAATTACCTATTAAACACTCTCGGAAAGCAAGCATTACAACTTATATTGAATTTTTTTTTATAGAATTCTACTTATCTTGTGTGTCTATGTTACATTCTACCTATCTTCCTATTATAACATTATACTTATTTGGGCTTTCTATACAACGTCCTACTTATCTTGTCTATATATATATATATATATATA